CTGCTGTTTCTCGCGATGCTCGTCACAGTGGTGCTGCTGGTGGCCCCGTTGCTGGTGGCGCTGGTGTTGCTTGCGCTACTGCTGCTGGCGGCATTCATGCTGCATGTGGTGTTGTTGCTTCCGACAGGCCTTGGTGGAGTGGCGCTGCAGGTGGCATTTTTGTTGCTGCCTTTGTCTTGCTACTCACAGTTATGCTGCTGGTGGCGGTTGTGCTGCTGCTGCTGGTGGCGATGCTGCTTCCTGTCGGGTTGTTCGTTTCGCTCATGTTGCTGACCGACGCGTCGCGGATCGTCGTGCGCATCTCCGCCATGCCGCACGGATTGCGGTGCGAGGGGCGATCGCCAGCTCCTATGGGACAGGCTGTGGGCTGTGCCCTAGGCGCCTTCGGTGCCCAGCTCAAAATCGAAAGATTTGAGCCGTGACGCTCTGCGCTAGGGCGAGGGGACGCTTCCCCCCTCGCCGGCCGCGCCGGTTGGGGGGTGGGGGTGCTCGCGCAGTCCAGCGCGAATCGCCTGGTGCTGCTGGTTCCCGTCGTGCTCGTTTTAGTGGAATTGCTGGTGGCGTTGGTGCTGTTTGCTCGCGGCTCGCGCGATGCTGCTGGCTGGGTACGGCGACGGTGCCAGGCTTTGGAGCTGCTGTCCGGGCTGGGCGGCGGGAGGCGGCTGGCGCTGACGGCCGGCCCACGACGAGTCATTATTCCGTCCTCGCGCTCGCCCTGGCGCTCCTGGTTAATGCTGCTACTATAGGCCCTGGCTGGCGCAACCCGTTGCCTGGGAGCGACCGCCGTTCGGGCTTGGGGCGAGCAGCAGTTGCTCAGGTGGTGGGGTTCGCAAAACTTCGCGCGGACGGATCGCGCATTTCTGCTTGGGGGCGCCCCAATCCGCAGCGCAAAATTGAACGATCTGGGCCATGACGCTTAGCGCTGGAGTGAACGCCCCACCCCCAGCTTGTCTGGCCTGCGGGGGGGTGGGGGCGCTCGCGCAGTCCAGCGCTCATCGCCTGGCGCTGCATGTTCCCGTCGTGCTCATTCTAGCGGAACTGCTGGTGGCATGTGTGTTGCTGCGCGTGGTGTTGCTGCTTTTCGTCGTGCTGATAACTGTGGTGTTGTTGGTGGCGTTTGTATTGGCGCGAGTCGTGCTGCTGGATCCTGTCGTGCGCGTCGCGGCGATGCTCCTCCTTGCGCGTGTTCTGGTGCGTGTAGTGTTGCTGCTTCCCGTCGTGCTGGTCACACTGGTACTGCTGGTTGCGTTTGGGTTGTTCGCGTGGCGTTGTTGCCCCCAGTCGTGCTCGTCACAGTGGCGCTGCTGGTGACGCTGGTGTTGCTGCGTTTGGTGTTGATGTTTGCTGTCGTTGCGGTCGCAATGTTGCTGCTGGTGGCGCTTGTGCTGTGCCGCGTGGTGCTGCTGCTCCATTCCCCGTCGTGGTCATCATACTGGTGCTGCTAGTTTCGCTGGTGTTGGTACGCGTAGTGGTGGTGTTGTTTGCTGTCGTGTTGGTCAGAGAGGTGCTGCTAGAGTCGCTGCTGTTTCTGGCGCTGTTCGTTTCCGTGGTGCTGCTGATTGCGCAAGAGCCAGTGCGCGTGTGCAGTGGGACACCTCGCCCACGATTACGACGGATCTTCTCGCCTCACCAGTGGCGACATCCACTATATCCATTTTGCGTTGGCCTTACCCCAGGCCGCATCCATGGTTGGGAATGTTGCTTTCGCCGCAGTGCAGGCCACATCCATGATTGCGAATTTTGTTTTCGCATCTTCGCCGGCCACGTCAATGATTGCGAACGTTGCTCTCGCTTCAGTGCCGGCCACATCCGTCACTGCGAACGTCATTCTCGCCTCAGCACCAGCCACATCCACGACTACGACGGCTGCTGTCGCCTCAGCACCAGCCATATCCATGATTGCGAACGTTGCTCTCGTCTCAACGCTGGCAACATCCACAATTGCAAATGTTGTTTTGGACTCAGCGCCGATCACACCCACGATTGCGAAAGTTACTCTCGCCTCAGCGCTGGCCGCATCCATGATTGCAAATGTTGATGTCGCATCAGCCCCCGCCACACCCACGATTACGAAACTTACTGTCGCCTTTGCGCTGGCCACATCCACGATTGCGAAAAGTGCTCTCGCCTTAGCGCCGGCCGCATCCATGATTGCGAGAGTTGCTCTCGCTTCAGCGCCGGCCAGATTCTTCATTGGAGCCGAAGAAGGATCAGTGATACAGTTGGCATTTTTGCGTTGCGTGTCGCTGTGTCGCCCCATTATGGTGCATCATTTGCTACGCCGCGCGCGCGTGACACACTGGTGTCGCCGAGCCGTTGGCCACGTTAACTTTAATGGTTCAGGTTAGCTTTGGCGCAGTGTCGACAGGGCCTTGGTCAGGTTAGGGTAGGGATTGGCTACGTTAGGGGGGGTGTAGGTGTCGCTGCCGTCGCCGCAGTACCTCCGTATAGACCGAACACCACCTCCGCCCAGCTCGTGTCGAGGTTCGCCCTTAAGCGCTCCAGCGACTCGGCGTTGGCGCTGACTGGGAGCTGGTAGCATGCGCACAGCACGCTGGACATCCCTGTACCTGGCGCTGTCGTGGCCGTGGCCGAGCTGGGCTGGCCATCGACGCCGTGCGCGCCACTCTGGATGTGGTAGCCGCCGTCGAGCCGCGTCCCCCACGTAGCGACTGTATGCCTGAGGTGTTTCCCTCCCTGGGGTCTTCCTCAGGACTGTGTCCAGCTCCACGTGGCGACTTTGAGCCTGAGGCGTTCCCCTCAATGGGAGCTTCCTCAGGACTTTGTCCAGCTCCACGTGGCGACTTTGAGCCTGAGGCGTTCCCCCTTGGGGCTTCGCCCTCAGGACTTGGCGTTCTGACATCCTGGTCGTCGAACAGGTGGCCCTCGCGGTCAATGTCGGCCCACATCTTGTGGATCGCCGTCCGCTCGATGCCGGCACTGATCAGGGGCAGTTTTGACGCACGTGCATTGTGATGGTAGTCCCCGCGACTCTCCACTACGCCGTGCTCGTTGCCGTCCCCGTCGACCCACACCAGCTTCAGCTCCGAACCATGTGCACGGTGATGGTAGTCCCCTCGACTCTCCACTACGCCATGGCCCTCGCCTCCTCTGGGTGAGCCCGCCCTGCGCATCCCGTCGTCTCCATCCCGTTCAGGGCCGCGTGCATCGGCTCCGAACCACCCCGAACACGCAGTCGACGATGTCGCCCTCTGGGTCGCACCTGTGCCGCCGCCCTCTCCATGCTGGCCTCCCCAACTCCCCCTCGGCCATCCCATGCAGCAACCCACGCGTCCGCTCCCAAGCGCAGGCGGCGCGTGGGTGGGAGGCCTCGGGCGAGGGGCCAGGAGGGGCGGCAGCTGCTAGGCCCTGGCGCTTGGCCTTGCGCCGGCCTCTGCGTCTAGCTCGCCCACCACGTACGCCGCTCCCGTTCGGCATGGCGTGGTCGGTGTCGGACATCGAGCCGCCGTCGGGTTCGGCCGAGCCCCTATGACCCCGCTCCTGCACGGACGGCAGTGGCTGCCAGAGCTCTGCCGATGGCCTCTCGACGGATGCGCTCCGCAGCTGCTGCGTCGAGGGCGTTGTCGTCGTTGTCCTTGGCAGGTGCGACCCGCTCGGCTGCACCTCCCATGCCGCGATCGCCCGCTGGGAAGCCAGGAGCATCAGCAGCAGGCGCAGCAGGTTCGACATCAACCGCTTGTCTGTCCTTCGTCTCTGGCGGTGCCGTGCCTGGCTTGTCGGCGGGCACTGGTTGGGCCGCGGCGCCACCTGACGATGCGGTGGTGGTGGCGGCGGGGGCTGGTGCTGGAATCCGTCCACCCTGCTCTGTCGACTGGCGCCTGCGCTTGGTCGCGAGGCGGTCACGCATGGCCTGGACCTCCTGCCTCTTGCACTCCAACTCCTGCGGTTCCAGGCCGAACAACGACTGGACGACCGTGCGCAGTTGCTCCTGGAGCTGCACCTTGAGGCGCTCGTACGACTCCCTTTCGCTGTCCTCGATATCCAGGTCCTGCATGTCGAACGCGTCGCCGTCGCACAGCTCGGGGACCTCTCCCTTGCACAGCGCCGAGAGATCGATCCCCGCTTCCAGCGGGGCAGGGGAGGTGGGCTGGGGCTTCGCCTCGACCGTGCCCAGGCCAGCTTTCGGCCTCGTGGCCTCGAGCGCCTTGTCCAGGCCAGCCTTGGCCAGCTGCACCTCCTCCGCTGCGCCGTCGCACTCTGCCTTGGAGTCCTCCAGCCACTTCTCGGCATCGACCACCCGCTGCACCGCCGCCGTGAAGGCCGTCTCAGCTCGCCGCAGGCGGATGCTGGCCTCGGCCGCCTCCTCCTCGAGCAGCTTGACTCTCGGAGCTGGTGCCTGGGCAGATGGCACGAGCGTCGCCTCGACCTGCTGGATCGATTCTCGCTGCTCAGGGCCCACGGAGTTGGCCAGCTGCTCGAGAAGCTCTTGAACCCCAGGCTTCCCTGGCCGCGCCACAGGGCCGTCCGAAAAGGCCAGGCTGACGCTGCGGGTCCTCGCACCTGGGGGCTTGCGTACCTCCTCTGACCGGGCCCGCCATGCTGCACCCGCCTTGCCGCCGCCGTCGCGCCAAGGTCCTGTGACCCGCGGGCCCAGCACATGGATGGCCGCACTTGTGGCACTCCTCCGAAGCGAAGGTCCAGTCGTAGCCGCACGCCGTGCACTTGCGGTAGTCGGTGCGCTTGCTTGGGCCTAACGCTCTGGGCTTGTTGCTCCCTCTCGCCTGCGCCCCACGGCCATTGCCACCCATCGAACTGCCGAGCAGGAGAGAGAACAAACCCAGGAAAACGCTTGGCCCCAAATGGCTAGGGAGGAGGAGGAGGAGGAGGAGGAGGAGGAGGAGGAGGAGGAGGAGGAGGAGGAGGAGGAGGCGGCGGCGGCGGCGGCGGAGGAACGACGAGGAGGAGGATGGGGAGGACGACGAGGGGAGGACGACTCGGAGGAGGGGGTCCCCGCCGCCCGCCACGCCCCCTGCCCCCAGGTTCTCCACCGTCCCGGAGCACGCCCCCGTGTTGGAGGGCCTTCCGGCCCGCCCGCGCTCGGCGGGGGGGGCGAGCACGGGCGGCGGCTCGGCGGCCCCGCCGGCGCCGAGGGGCGTCGTCGTCGGCGGGGGCGCCGACGCGGGCGCCGGGGGCGCCGACGCGGCCGGCGGGGGCGCCAAGGACGAGGGCGCCGCCGTCGCCGCCGATCTCCGACACGGTGTTCGCCATGGGGGGAACGTCGTCGTCGTCGTCGTCGTCGTCGTCGTCGTCGTCGTCGTCGTCGTCGTCGTCGTCGTCGTCGTCGTCGTCGTCGTCGTTAACGGCGGCGGCGGCGTCGTCGGCGTCGGCTTCTGCGTCGGCGTCGGCGTCGGCGTAGTCTTCCGCCGCCGTCCCCGCGTTCCGCCCCTGGCGGCGGGCCCAGTCTCCGCAGGTCTTGAGGGAAAGGGGTCCCGAAGTTGTTCGCCATTTTCGGGCCCTCGGGTTCAGGGAAACGTAAGGCTCCAGTACGCCAGAGCTCGGGTTTGCCGGCGCTGCTTGGATTTTGACGGTCCAGTTTTCGTGGGACGTTTGCAGCGGGAGCTCGCGTCAAAATTCAGATTCGGTCTTGTCATTTGCATGATGGCCCTGTCAGGCCAACCCCAGTCCCCCGAACCGAGTCGTACGTCTCCCCGATCGGGGCCCTCCACGGGCCCCGGGGCTGTCAGAAAAACGGCTCGGGACGTAGATCTCGTCCTGGGGGAAGGAGGAGGAGGAGGAGGAGGAGGAGGAGGAGGAGGAGGAGGAGGAGCAGGAGGAGGAGGAGGAGGAGGAGGAGGAGGGGGGGGAGGAGGAAGAGGAGGAGGAGGAGGAGGAGGAGGAAAAGGAGGAGGAGGAAAAGGGTCCAGGACCAGTTCCCCTCAGGACCCGCTCCCCAACTGCTAAGACGTGGTGTTCTCAGCCCGAGCGTTTCTCCCACGGTCGGACACTTTTGGGGCAGCGTGTCGCTCCGCCGGCGCTGGCCCACCACGCTTCGGCGCGGCACGCTGTCCTTCTCCCGGTCTCCAGGCTGCCACGTCCCGGGCCTTCCCGCGGAGCCGAGCGACATGCCACCCGCTCGCATGGCACAGCGTGCTGCCGGGGCCAGCGCGACGACACGCTGAGCAAAAGCTCCCGGCCGCAGACTTCGGCCTCCTGGGTGCGCTCTCGGGGCCCGGGGGGCCACCTGAAACTGATCCGGGGCGAGAAGCTGCCCCTGGCGCGCTCTCGGGGCCCGGGGGGCCACCTGAAACTGATCTGGGGCGAGAAGCTGCCTCTGGGGCAGGGGGGAGATTCTCGCCACGCAGCGCATGAATGCAAGCACATTCCCGCATGATTTTGTTGTGCAGAAGTGCATGCGTGCATGTCTGTTGCGCCATCCGTAGCCGCCGAGGCTCGAATCCAGAATTCATCCGACACGTTCCCCAGACACCCGACGTCGTGATTTTTCCGCAACGTCGACCCCCAGAGGTCTCGACCCCTTCCCCAGGACTGGTTTTTCACCCCAAGTCGTTTTTCGACGGTCCCGAGGCCCGGTAAGGGCCCGTGGAGGCCGAAAATGGCAAAACAAATCCCGTCGCGATTGTTTCACAACGCGAGGGGATCTGGGTCTAGAGGCAGAGAGGAAAAAATTGCGCAACACACAGCTTGAGAGCTCTTCGGTTTCAGCGTGGCATCGGGGGCCGCGAACTGTAAAAAAAGCATCTCGTCGGATGACCCCAGCATCGGGGGCATCGGGGGCCGTAGCAGTCGCTGTCGCCGCCACCGCGTTCCGTCGTCGCCGTCGCCGTGCGCCGCCTTCGGGCGGCGGGCGGCGGGGCCTTCATCCTCCTCCCCTTTTCTCCCTACGCCTCCTCCTCCTCCTTCTCCGGGGCGGTTCTGCGATTGAGCACATCGGAGCATCGTGATGGATGCCCAGATATCTGTATGTGTGAATCTCCGTAATTGCAAGGGGATGCGTGCACGTACCCCGAGCTCCTGGCGCTGCAGCTGTTCCGCCGCGGGCGTCCTCGTTCGCCTGGTCTTGGGCCCCGGGACGTTGTCCTCCAGTGGGCTCCTGGTGGCCCAGAGGCCCCTCCCCGGGGGCAGCCGCAGACTTCTAGTGGCCGCGCCCGGCCGCCTTCGCGGGCGGGCGCGCGCAAGGCGGCAGCGCTGCAGCGCAGAAAGGAGACACGAAGAAAGGGGAGGAGGAGGAGGAGGAGGAGGAGGAGGAGGAGGAGGAAGAGGACGAGGATGGACGAAGGGGAAAATGACCGCTGCGCACAACGCGCGGCGGGGGCGAACGGGGCGAGGACGCGGCCGCGGGGCGTAAGCCACCAGACCCCGCCGTTAGACGCGCGCGCCCGCGCCAAGCACGGAGGGAGGCCTGGAGGAGGACGAGGGAGAACACGGCGAGCGGACGCCGAGGAAGAGGAACCTGTGAAGAGAGACCTGTGATGAAGAGGGACCTGGAGGGAACCTGGAGGGAGGGTTAATTTGCAACGCCGTTGAGAAGTCGTGGGTTGACACTGGTCCTCCTCATCCTCCTCCTCCTCCTCATCATCATCATCCTCATCCTCATCCTCATCCTCATCCTCATCCTCATCATCCTTCTCCTTCTCATCCTCTTCCCCGTCTCGCCATCGAGAGGAGGAGTCCAGGAGCAGAGTGGTCCTGGGGGGGGGTCGCCTTTTGCGAGAGTCGAGGCGGTTTCTGTTAAAACATGGAGCATGTTTGCAGTATTGTAGTGGCCTTCGGCCAGTGCCGCCGATCCGGGTCGCTCGGTGTTATTCTCCAGACGCAGACATTATGGGCGCACACTCAAACGCACAAACTTCTCGGGTTACCTTCGAAAGGGCGTAGGAATGCAGTTGGGTCAATAGAGCCATCTCGCAACAGTGGTTCTATCAACGGCGGGGTGCTTGCAGTGACCGTGGGGACGGGAAATAAGAATGACATGAAAATTCCATACAGGATGCCGATCACTTTGGAAACTCACGATACGTCTTGCACGGAGTCGTGTTACGAAACATGTGGCCTGGACGATGTGGTGCGAGCGGTGGAGGCGAGCCTATCGGCGCAAGGACGCCCTCTTGGGGCGTTTTTTGAGCCATCTTAGGAGCCTGTCAGGGCGTCGTGGGGGCTTCTTGGGGGCTTTCGGAGGCCCTCTTGGAGGCTCTTGGGGCCTCCTGGGGGCCTCGTGGGCTGGAAGGCTAGATTTTTTCAGCTTTTCGTCCCTCTTTTGGGTCCTCTTGGGGCCGTCTTGGGGGCCTGTTGGGCCGTCTTGGGCGGCTCTTGGGCCGCCTTGGGGCCCTCTTGGGCCGTCTTGGGACTGTCTGGGGGCCTCCTGGGCCGTCTTCGAGCGGTCTTGGGGGCCTCTTGGGCCGTCTTGGAGCGTCGGAAAGCCGAAAAAAGCGACAACCCCAAAAACATTGAAAAAACCAATGGGAATCAACGATTTTTGCCTCTGGGGGCCATCGTGGGAGGCCTCTTGGAGGCCTCTTCAGACGTCGTGGAAGGCTCTTGGGCCGTCTTGGGGCCATCTTGGGCGTGTTCGGGCGATCCTTCGGGGTCTCGCGACTTTCGTAGACCGTCCTCAGAGACTTTTGCGGCCGCGGCCACCCTTCCAGCGCATCCTCGAGATTAGAGCCTTCTGTAAAAGCAGCGCCCCGCATCCGCCGGAAACTCGCACCCCCCCCCCCCATCCCCCCTTCCCCGGCAGAGCCACCCCGGCAACCCCCCCCAGAGGCTGAGGTTCAGCCTCGAGGCTGCAGCTGAGACTCCTTGAAACTCACGCGCCGGATCGGCGGATTTTTTTTGCGCTCGTCCAAAATCCGCCTGTAGGGGGACACGCCCGACTTAACCCGAAGTCTTTGGCAGAAGCGTGCCCCACAGCAATCCGCATGCAGGTCGGCAGGTTCTTCGAGAGGCCGAGCGCGCGGAGCTCTGTGCACTCTCGGGCGCGGGGGGCGCCATGCCCGCGAGCGGCATCGCACCGTGTGCCACGCGGCGCGGTGGGCGATCCGCCTTTCTCGCTCGTGCGCTCCTGCGTGCCCACTCGCGCCCCTCTCTGCCTGGACCCGAGACGGCCCCACGATCTGGGCCGAGGTGCTGTCGTCGTCGTCGTCGTCGTCGTCGTCGCAGGCGCCGTCGTCGCCGTCGTCGTCGTCGCCGTTGTCGTCTGCGTCGCTTGCCGGCGGCGACGTCGTCGTCGTCGCCGGGGGGGGAGTTCTGGACCCGTTTGTTGGGGGGTCGGGGGGGGATGGGCGGGCGGTGGCTTGGTTTCTGACCCCCCTGCTTAGAGTTTGCGCAGGCCAGCGACGGTGGATCGCGCTCCTTCCCTGGGCCTCGTCCCCCTCGTCCCCTGACCTTTCCCCTCCCTTCCCGCAGATCCGACGCCGCGAAAACATGCAACACCGGGAAGAATCGCGCCCAGAGGCCAAGACCCCATGTGTCTGCCCCAGTTTTCGAGCCGCACCCCTCTGTGTGAGGACCCCTGGCCCGAGTCCGGGCGAGGCCGCCCACCTGGGGAAGTGGCATCGCCAGGATCCCGGGGCTCCCCAGGGACACGGTCGCTCCTCCTCCCTCCCCTCTCGCACTTGGTGCGGGCCCTGGGGATTTGCCTCACCAGAGCTCTCCAGAGTTGAGCACGTCTTCACGACGCTGCTGTCGTCCGCCGCCGCCGTCCCTCCCCTGCCCCCGTGGCCCCGTTTTCTTGGGAGGCTGCGCTCGCCCGTGCCCGCGCCGTGTCATTGAGAAGGAAGCGTGCCCATCCCGCTCCACCAGTTTTTTATATATATATATATATATTATAATAATAAACAAAAAAAAAAAAAAAAAAAAAAAAAAAAAAAAAAAAAAAAAAAAAAAAAAAAAAAAAAAAAAAAAAAAAACGACACACAGCGACACATATAGCGGCACATGAAGGGCACAAGGCACACAGCGACACATATAGCGACACATGAAGGGCACAAGGCAGCTGGGGGGGAGCGACGACGACGCCGAAATAAAGTGGTCGGAGCTCTAGACACCCTGTGCAAGAGAATAGTTTTTAATAATGATAGCCCCCGTGGCCCCGTGGCCCGCCGCCCCTGGAGCCCCAGAGGAGGGCGGCCATGGCGCGCGCGGGGCGCCCGGGGCGCCCGGGTCCCCGCTGGCCGCGGCGCCGCCCACAGAGGACATGCCGCCGCCGTTGTCGTCGCCGCCGTCGCTGCCGACATCAGCAGTTGGGAGGACGACCCAGGCGGACATCAGCAGCTCGGAGGACATCAGCAGCAGTTCGGAGGACATCAGCCGTCGCTGCCGACATCAGCAGTTCGGAGGACATCAGCAGTTCGGAGCCGACATCAGCAGTTCGGAGCCAGGCGTTGCAATTGTTCCACACCAGTTGTCGCCCGGCTTCTGGCCCTGGGACCATCACAGATCGATCCCGTTCGACAGATGACGCACAAAGATGGGGTCTAGGGCTCCGGTCGTGATTTTTAGCGATGTTGCAATTTGTTGGCAATATCGGATCTCAGGGGACGTCGACGACGTCGTCGTCGTTTGGGAGGTTTTGGAGGTGTTTCTGGCGCCCTCTCGTCGACGCGGCTGCACAGCGTCCTGCAGAAAGTGGCCAGGATGGTCCGTGGACCGATTTTGAGCAGATCCCGTCGTCGTCGTCGTCGCCATCGACGTCGTCAGTCGTCAGTCGATCCCCCGTCGGGCGGTCAGGGATAGCTACAGATTCGCGCTTCGGGGGCCCCAAAACCAGAGTTCACCAACTACCCAGAACCGCAGTTACCCCAGTTAACTCGGGGGTCCAACCCTCCCGAATCATCAGGGCTGGGGGCAGTCAGAGGTAGCTACAGATTCGCGCCTCGGGGACCCAAACTGGAGTTACCCCGGACAGCAGGTATCCCGGATAATTCGGGCGTCCAAACATCAAGAGTTTTCAGTTCCATCTCAGATCTTTCAGTTTCGTTGCATCATGCTGCCTGTGGAGGCGTCCCGCGCCCTCTCGGGTGTCCTGTCTTCGGTCGCGATGTCGGGAGATCATCAGAGACATTGAGGGCCCTCATGGGGGGCACGAGCTATGGATTCAAGTGTGCATGATTATCCTGTTCACGACTTGTTGAAACCAAGCGCGCTGGAAGTTAGCGGAAGGCCTTCGAACGATATCCAGATGTGGTTTCGACCGTCATTTTTTGTGTAACGGCGAGACGAGAAAACGGTTGCCAATAATAAAAGATGTTGTGCAGGGTTACCGGAGGTGCTTCCATAAACTAAGCAGCAAGAAACACGAATTTGGATCTACCATTCACAACTCCTCCCCTTGCATCTTCCCCAGACTAGGTTCTGGCTGGAAAAAAGTGTACGCAGGACGAAAGATGTTCCTCTTGAGGTGCAGATGGCGATGAGGAGTTCGCTAGACCACATCGGCGCCGCCGAACGGACGGAGAGAGATGTATTCATGTTGAGTGGGGCCCGCGCGCGCGGAGAGTTGATGGGAGTGCGCGAGACAACGCAGCGCCCATCCTGGAAAGTTGATAGCCGAACCCCCCTCCCCCGTAGAGTCTTAACACGGGCGGGTCGTGGGGTCCGCGGATCCGATTTCTTCCGGCTTCCCGTTTTATTTTACACATGCAAATTTGAAACGGAGTAGAAACCAGATCCGCCGTAAGGCCGGATGCGGATCCAGAAAATCCGCAATCGGATCCGCGCGGACAGAATTCGGATCCACCGAAACACAAACCAAAGCTAAAATTAGATCCGCGCGAACTGAATTGGATCCGACGGTCGTTATCCCATACGCGTCTGCTCAAGGTTTCAAGCCGTCGTCTTGGACCCAAAAGAACATTCTGGTCCTGGGGATGTATGCTCGATAATCATCGTTCGCGTCCGACAAAGAACGCCCGAGCGGTTGGCGTCAACGTCACTCCAGACGTCGTTCGGGGATCACGTCGGGCTATGGGCGCGTCAGGCAGTCGGTCGGTCGGTCGGTCAGTCAGTCAGTCAGTCTGTCATCTTCCCCCTGCTCCTCCTCCTCCTCCTCCTCTCCCTTCGGACCTGACTCTTCGGAGGCAGGCCACCGTCCTAGTCCTAGTCCTCCTCCTCTTCCTCTTCCTCCTCCTCCTCATCCTCCTCATCCTCCTCGCCCTCCTTTTCCTCCTCCTCCTCCTCCTTCGTTTCCTCTCCTCCTCCTCCTCCGTCCTCGCCCAGGCCCCGCTGTCTCCCGATCGGGGAGGACGATAGCAAAGCAGCATGCAACGTCCGAATCCGCGAGGCGCCCGCGCAGAGCCGACCTGCCGCGGCGGGGCACCCCGCCGCCAGGCAGGCCAAGACTGGCCTGCCGGCACCGGCCACAGCAGGCGACGCCGCAGGCCGTGGGCGAAAAACGTTCGGCGACCACACAGGGTCCCAGACATGATCACGTCGTAAAAAGTTCGGGAGGGGAGGTTTTTGGCCAATTTCGGCCTCGGGAGGCCCTCGCCGGGCCTCGGGACCGTCAAAAAACGACGCAGGATGAAAAACCAGTCCCGGGCAAAGGGTCGGGACTTCCAGGGAATCCGTCTTGAAAAATCAGGACGTCGCATGTCTGGGGTTGGGGCTGGGGGGGACACCACGTTATACTCTCGTCGGGTTGCCCCGGGGCGTGGCGGAGAATTTTGTCGAGGTCATCGCCCGCCCTCCTGGGCGCGGATTGCAAACCGGACCCTCTGCAAACAATCAGGGGCAACGATAGGGGGGGATGCTCTGAGATCCAGGCGTTGCAAGTTTTCACCACAGGCGTTATCGCCCAGCTTCGGACCCCGGGACCCTCACAGAGAAATCCAGCGCGGAAGATGGCTCCGAGAGATGGAGTTCGGAGTTTCGATCGTGATTGTTCGTAATGTTCGTGATGTTCCATGTTCTTCGTGATGTTCGGAGTTCGGAGTTTCGATCGTGATTGTTCGTGATGTTCCATGTTCTTCGCGACGTCGGATCTCAGGGTGAGATCATTGGGGGCCCCACCCCGCCCGGGAGCGCGCAGGTTCGCCACCTGGGACCTATACCTCCATCGGTGCTGCATCGCCGATTCGCGCTCGAGGCTTCCCCCCCCTGACCTAATCCCCCCCCACACGATCCTCCTCCTCCTCCTCCTCCTCCTCCTCCTCCTCCTCCTCCTCCTCCTCCTCCTCCTCCTCCTCCTCCTCCTCCTCCTCCTCCTCCCTCCTCCCAAAAAACAGATTCGTATCTGCGGCCTCCCGTGCCAGGCCCCTGGGCCGCGGCCCCGCGGATACGGGACATTTTTTTCGCGGATGCCCGCGCGGAAGGTATCCATGCGACCGCGTATCCGCGGGATCGCGCCCCTGAAGCCAGACCAGGAGGGCGCAGGTACGGATATGCTCGCCGCTCGGGGGCAAGTGTGCACCACCACCATACCCTGATCATTGGATGCCAGGGTTCACTGGTCGCGACCGACGAAATCGGTCGCTGCCGATTCTGCTTCAAATTCCAGGATCGGTCGAGACCGGTTTGCTTCAAAATCCGTGGCGACCAGCTGCGACCCGAGGCTTTGGACATTTTCGGCCCCCAAGGGGCCCTTAGCAGCCCCATGGACAGTCGAAAACGACCCAGGATGAAAAACCCTCGTGAAAATACACACGACGTTGGGTTTTTGGGGAAGGTGTGTGTGTGTGTGCTTGTGTGTTTGTGTGTGTTTGTGTCGTTGTGGGTTTGTGTGTTCTTGTTTATGTTTGCGTGTGTGTGTGTGTGTTTGTGTTTGTGTGTGTTTGTGTGTGCTTGTGTCTGCGTGTACCCGCGCTTGAGGACCCTCTGCGCCGCCAAGTTACAAATGTGTGTTCGTGTGTGTTTCTGTGTTTGTGTGTGCGTTTGTGTATGTTTGTATGTGTGTGCGTTTGTGTGTGCATGTGTATGTGTTGTGTGTGGTTGTGCCTTTGCATGTGTGTGTGCGTGTGCGTGTGCGTGTGTGTGCGTTTGCGTGTGTGTGTGTGTGTTAGTGTGTTAGTGTGTGTTTGTGTGTGTGGTTGTGTGTTGGTGTGTGATTGTGTGTTTGTGTGTTGGTTGTGTGTATTTGTGTGGTTGTGTGTGTTGTGTGTTTGTGTGCTTATGTGTGATTGTTGTGCATTGTGTGTTTGTGTGTTGTGGGGATGTGTGCGTGTGCTTGTGTGTAGTTCAAGTGTAAGTGGAAGTGTAAGTGAAATTGCAAGTGCAAGAGTAGGTGAATGTGCAAGTGCAAGTGCAAGCGTAGGTGTAAGTGTAAGTTGAAGTTTGAATGCACGTGCTGGGGAAGTGTAAGTGCAAGTGTACGTGTAAGTGTAAGAGTCATTGCAAGTGCAAGTATAAGTGTTAAGTGTAAGTGTAATTGTAAGTGTGTGTGTGTGCGCACGTGTTTGCTGCTTTACAACCTTCTCCGCCCTGTCGCCGCGCCGCGCGCAGGGCCGCGACGCCAAAACGTGTACATATGTGTGTATGTGCGCGTGCGTGTGTGTGTGTGTGTGTGTGTGTGTGTGAATGTATGTGGGTGCGTGTGTGTGCGTGTGTGCGCGTGTGTGCGTGTGTTTCTGTGTGTATGTGTGTATGGGTTTGTGTGTGCACGCCCGCCAACCTCATGTGCACGCCCGCCCTCCTGCCCTTGGCGAGGAGCGTGTCTACCTCGGGCCAGGGCCAGGGCATCGCAGCCGCAGTCGCCTCCGCGAGGCCCCAGCATCGTGCACAGACCCTGCCAGCCATTGCCAGGAGGGCGTCATGCACCTTGCCAGGGCCCAGGGTTCCTGATATCCGACGTCGCGACAAAAATGCAGCATCGAAAAGCAATCGTAGACCACGTTTTTCTTTGGCACTTTTCGAGCCGGATCGATCTGTGATGGCCCCCCGGCCCGAAACCTAGCGAAAACGCCCGTTCCGAAAAAGTTGCAACGCCTGGATCTCAGGGGTGGCCCAGGCCACGCATGCCTGCTGTGTGCAGTGGCCTCCCGCGCAAGGCCAGCTTGCTGGCATGGGGCTCGCGGCCGCGCCCGGTTCGCTCGCCGCCGCCGGCTCCGCGCGCAGTGCGGTGCAGCAGGGCCGGGCCCGCCACGGCGCGCCCGCTGGCAGGGCGCTGGACGGCGAGGCTTTCGGGGCCGACGACGTCGTCGCCGTCGCCGTCGCCAACGTCGTCGTCGTCGTCGTCGTCGTCGTCGTCGTCGGTGTGGTCTCCGGAGCCTCGCAACACATCGGGCCTCCTGAAGCCTCGTCGACGGGCGACGGCGACGGCGACGGCGACGGCGGCGACGGCGACGGCGACGACGGCGACGGCAACGGCGACGGCGACGGCGACGGCGACGGCGACGAAGACGATGGCGGCGTCGGCGTCGGCGTCGGCGACGGCGGCGGCGGCGACGGCGACGACGACACGCGACGGCGATGGAGGCGAAGACGACGACGGCGGCGTCGGCGACGGCGGCTGAGACGGCGAAAACTCAAAATCGACCCACAGAACCATCTGGGATTCCATTGGCAATTCTTTGGAGACGCGTGCGCCGTGGTCGACCTCGTCCGCCGAAACGTCGATGTCGACGGTGGCGGCGACGACGGCGAACACTTCTTCATTCTCTTCCTTCTCCTCATCCTCCTCCTCCTCCTCCTCCTTCTCCTCCTCCTCCTCTGCCGCCTCATCTTCTTTCTCCTACTCCTCCCCCTCTTCACAATCCCTTGTCCGTGCAAATAACTCCTCCTTGTCGCACCGCCAAACGTATCGGTAGGGCGGGCCAGGCGTTTTGCTTAAGACTTCCTCACCACGTATGATCCTGAGATTTGAAATGTGCAACAGGTTTACGGATTTAGGGCGGCCCATGTTCAAAATGTTGTCTTCGCCCTAGCGCCGCGCAGATTCGTTTTAAAGGCTTGCAGCAGCTTCACGGATGGAGGGCAGATAGTTTCCAAAATGTGGCTCTCGCCTTAGCGCAGACCACATTCGTCTTCTGAGTTTTCAGCAAGCGTCACGGATAGAAGGTGGCTGCTTCTCAAAATGTGTGTTCTTGCCGTAATGCCGCGCACATTCGTGCTAATAGTTTGCAGCAGTTTCACGGATGGACGGCGGATAGTTTTCAAAATGTGGTTCTCGCTTTTGCGCCAGCCACAGTCGTTTTCAAAGTTGCAACAACGTCACGGATGGAGGGCGGCTCCTTTTCAAAATGTGCGTTCTTGCTTCAGCACCGCGCACACTTGTTGAACAAAATGTTGCAGCAGCTTCAGGTGCTCGTACGGTTAAAGTCCCAGGAATGGTATTATGGTTTGGCTTGGAATTGTCAGGACGCAACAGTCGCGTTGATTCACTGTCTTCAAGTCCCACGAATGGCTTGAAGCACGATGTTGGATTGCCAGTGCGCGACAGTCGCGCTGATTTGCAGCATTGAAGTCCCAGGAACGGCGTTTCGGAAAGGCTCCCGATTTTCAGACTGTTGGCTTCCAATGGGGGCGTTTCCCGCATTGATAATATAATGAAACATTGTGTAGGGGCCTATGAAGAGGGAATTTGGAGGGAGGGTGTATTGCAACAGCGGTGATGCGTCTCGGGTTAACTCCGGTCCTCATCCTCATCCTCCTCCTCCTCTTCCTTTTTCTCGT